GTTGGGGAGCAAGGAGGGATGGAGGGGAAAAGTTAAGGCCCAGACTGCCTTTGAAAGTAGCAGAAACTCCCTACTCCTAGGAAATCACCTCATCTTCTTTGCTGGGTAGTCGGATTCTGTTCTTCAGTGCAAAGGCTGGAGACTTGGGGACAGTGACTGGAAGGACCTTCTTTTCAGGAACACCCTGCAAGGAGCACATAGCTCAATTAGCAGTTCCCAAGGGCCTCTTGACTCCAAGAAGAGCTCATGTATGGCCACAATGGATCTCTCCACACTCAGGACCCAAGCAGTGATCCCCCATGGATACCAAGACCTGCAGATGGTCATATCCTTATATAAAATAGGGTGGTGTCTGCATACAGCCTACTCACATCTGCCTTGTCATCTCTAGGTTTTCTTTCCTTTTTGTATTGTTGAGACCACGTCACACTATGCAGTTCAGGCTGCTTAGAACTCACTTTTGTAGCCCAGGCTGGCCTCAAACATGCTGCAATCCTCCTGCCTCATCCTCCCAAGTGCTAGGATTACTGGCATACACCACCATGCCTAGCCAGTCTAGGTTCTTACAGTATCGAGTATAATATAAATACTGCATAAGTAGTTACACATGTTTGGAATGTCTTTCTTGGAGTGGCTTTCAAAGCCACTTTTTGGACCATGCAAGATAATTACTCAAACTTTGCCTTTAATGTAACAAAACTGTTTCTGCCTCTAATATCTTTTATTACTCAGTCTTAGTTAAAAATATTTTTTAAAGGGGCTAGGAAGATAGCTCAGTAGCATAAGTGCCTGCCTGGCAAGCACAAGGTCCTGAGTTCAATCCCCAGTATACAAATAAATAAACAAACAAACAAACAAACAAACAAACGTTTTTTAAAACGGTTAGTCCCAAGCCAGGTGTAGTGGTGCACACCTGTAATCCCAGTACTTAGGAGGCAGAGGTAGGAGGATTGCTGGGAGTTTGAGGCCAGCCTGGGTTACAAAGTGAGCTTAGGACCCGTCTGAACCTTGTCTCAAAAAGACAAAAACGAAAAAGTCCTTTTTTTGCTACTGGGGCTCAAACTCAGGTCCTTGTGCTTGCCAGGCAAGCAGTTATGCTGCTGAGCTATCCCCCCGGCCTTTTTATTTTTATTTTGTTCTTAGACTCTTCAGTTCTACCATACAAGTCTAAGACCTAATCGCAGTTCTACCACCAACTCTTAAAAATATTCCTATGGGTAATATTTGATTCCAACTTCAAAGACTCCTTTTCTGATGGAACTGAGGGTATAAGTAGGTGACTCCTGCAATCACTGCTATCCAGGATACTACACAGGATTTTAAAGGCACATCTAGCTGGGCAACTTAGCAAGATTCCATCTCAAAATAAGATTTTAAAAGGGTTGAGATGGGCCGGGGAGATAGCTCAGTAGAATAAGCGCTTGCCTGGCAAGCTCAAGGGCCTGAGTTCAATCCCCGGTTCTGCAAATAAATAAATAAATATAAAAAATAAAAGGGTTGGGATGGTGCCTATAATCCTAGCACCGGGGAGACTAAGGCAGGAGCAAGTTGAGGCCAGCATGGACTCTATAGAGAGATCAAGGCCAGCCTACACTACACAGCAAGGCTTGTCTCAAAAAAAAAGAAAGAAACCAAGAATTGAATTAAAATGTTAGTACAAAGAGTGGCAAAAAGCAAGTATCAAATTCAAAAGCTATATGTGCTAAAGAAACAAAAAATATTAAGTAATTGTTGTGGAGTAGAATAATTTACTGTTTAAGAAATGTTGGGTTCAAAGTTCAGTCCTTCACACTACATAGATATCTCTTAGTGTCTGTTTCCTCATCTTAAAAGCAGGGACACTGCGGAGTGTGGTGGCGCACACCTGTAATACTAACACTGAGGAACCTGAGGCAGGAGGATCACTGCAAGTTTGAGGCCAGCCTGGGCTACATAGTGAGTTAAAGGCTAGGCTAAACTATACAGTGAGAGACACTGTCTCAAAAACAAACAAACAGGGAGCCGCAGACATAGTTCTGTAGTGTAAGTGCTTGCCTGGCAAGCACAAGGGCCTGTGTTCAATCCCCGGTTCTGCCAAAAAAAAAACCCCAAAAAGCAGTGAGGGTCAATATATGTATCTAAAATGTTACAATTTAAAAAAAAAAAAAAAAACATAAAAAAGAAAAAATTAAAATACAGTTATCATGAAAAAGATTACATAAAGCACTCAGAACACACGCACTTAATAAAAGAGCAGTTATCACTATAAGCAACATGCCAGCCTGTACTCTAAGTTCTTTACCTGAGCTTCCTCTACACTGTGCCCAACAAATCAAAACTCCAGGGCTGGTGCCCAGGAAATTCTTTACATAATATGAGCCCCACAGGATTCTGCCAACCAGCTGGATTTAGCAGACACTGTTCTTTAGCACAGCACCTCAATTCAGCAGCACCCTACCTCCCTAGTGCTTTCTAGGGAGGTTACCAGCATCCTCAGTACAGCCAGGTACAGCGCTACGCTGAGATTTTAACTAACTCTTTTTTCTTTTTTTTTTTTTTTTTCCCAGAACCGGGGACTGAACTAGATTTTAATTAACTCTTAATGAACTCTAGTCATCCTTCCTCACTTAACACTTCAGGTTGGCTTTTCTAGGCTACAAGAAAAACCATCTGTTTTAGGGCTGGAGGTGTAAAAAGGTTAGAATAAACTTAGTATATAACAAGCTTTATGTGTGTGTTGGTTATTATGTCATTCATGATAAAAACTACTAGTTTTCCATTTATGCATTTATTTATGCATTTATTTGGGGGCCGGAGGAGATAGCTCAGTCCTGGCAAGTACAAGGTCTTGAGTTCAATCCCCAGTACTGCCAAAAAAAAAAAAAAAAAAAAAAAAAACTCAGCATTTATTCCCACTGAAATTACTCTAAATTACAAATTGAAATGATTTTTTTTTTGAAATGATTTTTAAGTTGGGTTTAAAACTGTAGTAAAAAATAACTGTAGTGTAAAAAACAAAAGCACACAGGAGGGGAAAAAGCCAAATGCCTGGAGATAAGATGTTATGCAAAGCAAGGTACCAAATGGCTGCCGGCTGGGGACGCAGCTCAGTGGTAAAGTGCTTGTCTCGCATGTGTGAGGCCCTGGGCTCGATCCCCAGCACCAAGGCAAAGGAACACCAAATAACTGTTTAAAAGTCTTGATGAAACAATTTCTTTTCTCTGAGCCACAGCTTTCCTGAATATAAAATGAATGTAATACCAGGCATAATGGCACACGCCTGGGGCTGGAAAGATGGCTCAGTGGTCTAAAGCACCTACTTGAAACAAGCTTGGCAAAGCACAGGGACTGCGGTTCAATCCCCCAGCACCACATGCCAGCCAGCCCCGCCCCCTGGTGGGCTGAGCTGGCCACACACACACACAATAAATAAATGTAATAAATAAAAATAAATAAATATTTAAAAAATAATAATAATAATGGCACACGCCTGTAATGCCAGCACTCAGGAAGCTACGGCAAGAGACTGCTCTGAGTTCAAGGCCAGCCTGGACTACACTGTGAGTTTAAGGCCAGCATGAACTACAAAATGAGGCTCTGTATCAAAAACAACAATAAAAACCCTCCACCAACAAAAACTAAAATGAAGATATGAGCTGTTGGCACAAGGCCATGGGTTTAATTCCCAGCACTATGATGGATGGATGGATGGCTAGATGGGATGGATGGATAGACAGATAAAGCGTGCGTGCAGGCTTTGGCTCCAGCACCTGAGGTTTCCCTACAACCTACCTTTTTTGCCCTGCCATATTCAGAACCCTATTCATTAAGGGTACAATGACAAAGAAGGCAAAAGCACAACCCTTAGAAACCAATCACACAGGTGTTGGGGGTGGGGTGGTGTTTTGTTGTTAACAGAATGTGGCTTGTATCAGAGCTTAAAAAAAAAAAAAAAAAAAAAGCAGGGAAGAGAATTGTGAATAAAAGGGTTTTTTTTAATTAATTAATTTATTTATTGGGGGGGCAGCTCAGCCCACCAGGGGGCGGGGCTGGCTGGCATGTGGTGCTGGGGGATTGAACCATGGTCCCTTTGTTTTTGCTAAGCTTGTTCTAAGTAGGTGCTTTAGACCACTGAGCCATCTCACCAGCCCCCCAAAAGGTTTTTTTGAATTGAAAAAACTTTCAAGTGAAAGAGGATATGGGGAAAGAAAAAATTTTAGACATAATTATGACTTTTATAAGGCCTGCAAAACATAACTTTGACTCAGTGTTAAGAATACAAAATAAATGAAACTAGGTAACCAGCCAAAACCAATATATTGTGATTTTACCAAAAACCACAGCTGACTCTAAAACAAGCATAGGGCAGGAGACACAGCTCAGTGGCATAAGCGCCTGCCTGGCAAGCACAAGGTCCTGCGTTTGATTCCCAGTACAAATCAAATCAAATCAATCAATCAATCAATCAAGCGGAAAGAAAAGAGGACAGTAAGCTGGGTGTGATGGCATGGGTTCCAGCTCGCAGCTACTCAGGGGCTTCTTCTGCAGACGATCACTTGAACCTGGGAGTTGGAGGCCACCATAAGCATGTCAAAAAAATAAAGCCTATGATAGCTGTGTAGTTCATATGAAAACAACTGTAATATCTTACATGAGGGATGTGGGCATCTGGTGAGCTGGTATCCACGCGGTCGGTATAACCAGTCCCCCAGATGCGGAGGGGTGACTGCACAGCAGAAGGGTTTGAGCAATGCCCAACACAGAGTATAAATGTCAGTTATCATGACGAAGATGACAACACAGATGACAACTAAATACTGCCATGGCACAGGGCAAATGCTGACTTCTTCACCAACCTACCTAGAAGAAATCATTTTCTCCTAACTTTGTACAACACTTTAAATTGTGGGGTCTCTCAAATACTTCTGCCTACCTCATACTGTTTACAGACATGCTGTGTTCTTCGCGGGACTTTAAGTCCTTCTGTGTCACTTTACCATCTCTAGTTCCTTACATGACCACGCCCTGCTCCCAGTTACCGACTGGCCACTGCAAAACATTGTGCCTGGGCAGTTGTTAGTGCCGGGCGGGTGCTCCTGCAGCACACACAGCCTTGGCTATTCTTACCACAACGTCTTCCAAGATCTTAGTAGGGCAAGGTCTGGAATGAAATTCAAAGTGCTCATCGTCTGATTTCTTCTTTGACTCTCGATCCTGGATTCTTTTCTCAATTTCCAAATCAAAGCCAATAGGCTGAGTGGGTGGTTTCACAGGCGGTCTCTTCAGCAAGACAGGCCCACCCTCAAGAATTCTGGGATCTACTTCTCGAGCTTTGAATTTGTATCTGCAAGGTGGAAATTTAAATGATAACTATAAAACAAACTTGCATTTAAATGAAAACTAAATAAATAGGGGCTGTGGAGATAGGTCAGCAGTCTAAGCTCCTGCCTAGGCAAGCATAAGGATCCAGGTTTGATCCCCTGTACCACATGCCATGCCGGCCCCATGCAGGCTGAGTCTGAATAAAAAGCAGACTTTGTCTCAAAAAATAATAAACAAAGCAAAGCAAAACAAAACAGGTGAGAGAAAAAAAAATAGGATGGATCTGGAGACTGTCGTTATTGGCAGGACACACACACACACACACACACACACACACACCCCACAAAACCAGACTCAGGAAGACAAACAGCACATGGTCTAAAAACATGACAAGAAAGTCCAAGGAAGAGTACTACATTGTTTCTCCCTGCCCATAATAAGATCTAGTCAGAAAAGAGCCTTGAAAACTAGAGATCAAAAATGCCAGGCCAATCACCTGTCCTTGCTTTACCTGCCTTACAGAGAAGCCGAAAGCAAAACTGGAAATGGCAACCAAGGCAGGGATACGCTGGCTGAGCTAGTGTTTTTGTTCTCTAGTTTTCAAGGATGATTATTTTCTGGCTAGGTTTTACTTTCTGTTATCAGAAAAGAGGGAGGGAATAAGGGAGAAGGGTGTAAGGATAGGTAATAAAAGGAATGATTATGATGAAAAAACATTCTTTTTATTTAACCCTCCCCCGCAAAAAAATAAGTGAAACTAGAAAGGAGGGTGGGAAATGATTACAGTATATTATGTGCATGTATAAATTTGCCAAAACAAAACCCTTTAATCTGTGAATATGTACCAACATGCACTAATATAGGAAAAAAAAAACCCACATCATAGCCTGTGTTTTATTGCTGTTTTTTAAAATTAGCATAATTTTTAAAAATACCCATTTTTAATTGACGAATAATTTTTTTATTTATCAGGTTAAAAAGAAAGAAAATAGGTTCCAATGCTAACCACGAAGTTCTAATTTCCTCCACTGCCAGTACCTATTAATATCCCCTCAGTTAAAAAAATAAAGCTCATAGGAAAAAAAAAAAATATGGGCCAGCCAGATAGCTCAGCAGACTAAAGCACCTGCTTTGGCAGAGCGCAGCAGCCAATGTTTGATTCCTAGCCTGCCATGCCGGCCCCACCCCTGGGGCGCAGTGAGACTGCAATTGAGACTGGGCCTGGTGGTGCATGGCTGTAATCCCCGAGCTTGGGAGGCTGAAAACAGGAGAATCACTATGAGTCCAATCTATGTAGTGAGACTCTGTACACCCTGTAGACCTTGTCCTAAAATTATAAAAAAAAAATCCCGTAGGCAGTCAGAGTAGGAAGCCATCTAACCTAACGTCAAAAGATATTCATTAATGGAACTTTAAGCAAGTCCTCCCACTCCAGCTGCTGACTTAGATTTGTACCAGTTTACAGCCCACAGCATCTCCATGCTCCCACCTTCAGGCCTTGCATCTTACAGGCAGGTGTACAGCCTGCAGAACCTACAACTAAAGTGCCAAGGATTTTCATGCAAGGAAAATAGCAACTGTGTCCTCCTCATAGAACCTAGAACCATGAGGAAGCAGACCGGTTTCTGGGAATTCTTCTTCAGACTCTGCTGTGGGACTTACTGCTGCAGCTTCTCAAGCTCTTCAGCCTCCTGTTCTGCTGTGCTTTTGCAGGTCACAGGCCTTGCTCGGTGCTTGGTTTGCAGTAGAGGAGTCCGTGGCTTTGTGGACATCTTGGTCACAGAAGATCTGGAGGGTACCAGGCCTGGAATCAGAGATCAGAGACAGTCACCTCATTCGCAAAGACCTGGTTCACCTGTAGGTGCTGACTCAATTGTGCAGTCCTGAAGATAGGTTAGGAGACTGGGGTGGCTAGCCTCCACCGCAGCTGACACTGATCAACATGACAGACACTGTTCCATTCCTGAAAGCAAGTGGGTAATCTTCGTGTCACGACCTATATATCAAATCCATTCTCCTCTGATGGGCTCCCTAGTGTTACACAGGCCAGAACTTCTCTACTCTTAACACCAACTATTTTGCTTGTTATTGACAAAAAGGTTTTTGTACCTGATACAAAACATCTACAGACATCCTGCTTGCAACAACCAAGTTCAATTTCTGTGACTAGGTCACTAAATGAATCGGTTGCTAAATGAGACTTATACATATAGGTAACCACAATATTCACAACAAAGAGATGGTCAAAGGAAACTCCAGCTTGATGACTTTGCTCTTACTTGCATAAAGCTTACATGCAGTACTGCAATATACAACAAAATATAAAACTATGGCACTATATTACTGTACATTCAGCAAAAATTACAGTACTATATATTCAAGTTATACTATACAAAAAGATATATGAGGCTTTATAAACAAGATGCACAGAACTGTACACACACACACACACACAAAAAGATGAGCCAAATGTAGGAGTGGCAAGTTGAGTCCCAACAGCTGTCGAACAGGTACACAGCTGAACGAGAAATCACTGCATAGCAGAGCATCAACACTATTACTCAGAAATTGCTTCTTGGCCTTTTGGCCAGTATCAAGTAAAGACTATCTCTCACAGAACATCCAATGGAGAAAGTAAAAGGCCATTTTCATAGTACTGATATTAAGAGCATAAGTAACACAGAAAATACCAATTTACCTGACCAGGGACAATCCTATCAACTGTCACAAGATCTTATCACAAAACAGGAGAACATCAAAATCAAATCTATTTTAGAAATGGGGCATGCTGCCAGGCATGGTGGCGCATGCCTGTAATATCAGCACTGTTACAGGCCGAGGCAGGAGGAGCACCATGAGTTTAAGACCAGCCTGGGCTACACAGTGTTGAGGACCTACCTAAACTACAAAGGAAGACCTTGTCTCAGGGCCGGCAAGATAACTCAGTGGACTAAACACCTGCCTGGGCAAGCTCAACAACCAGGGTTCGACTCCCCTTGGTGCACTGAGCTGGCTGCCAAGACCAGGTGTGGTGGCTCGCGCCTGTAATCCCAGCGCTGGGAGGCTGAAAACAGAAGGATCTCTATGAGTCTAAACTGTGTAGGGAGACCCTGTACCAAATATGTAAAAAAAAATAAAAATAAAAAGACCATGTCTCAGGGCCACAGAGATGGCTCAGTAGAGTAAGCGCTTCCCTGGCAGGCTCAAAGGCCTGAGTTCAATCCCGGATTCTACCAAAAAAAAAAAAAAAAAAAGTATGAGTTTAGGGGCTGGGGAGATAGCCTGGCAGTCTAAGAGCCTGCCTGGCAAGCACAAGGACCCAGGTTCAATCCCCAGCCCTGCACGGTGCCTGCCACCAAAACCAGGTGTGATGGCATGTGCCTGTAATTCCAGTGCTGAGCAGACTGAGACAGGAGGCTCACTATGAGTCCAAACTGCATAGCAAGACCCTGTACCAAATAAATAAGTAAAAAAATACAAGGCTGTGCCTCAAAAAATCAAAAGAGAACCAACCAAATAGCTCAGAGGATTAAAGAGCCTGCAAGCAGGCGCAGGGATGAGGGGTTCAATTACCAGGCCTGCCCTGCCCCCAGGGTGCACTGAGAGAGCAATTGAGATTGGGCATGGTAGCACACGCCTGTAATCCCAGCACTTGGGAGGCTGTAAACAGGAGAATCACTGCGAGTCTGATCCAGTAGTAAGACCCTGAACACGACCCTTCCCTAAAAAAAATAAATAAATAAGGGGGCCTGCCCCTTAGCTCAGTTCTTTAAGTGGCTGCTTCAACAAAGCAGTCAGGCTCAGGTTGCTGTGATTCGAGCCCCACAACTCAAGCCAGCCA